CAAACTCCAACCATCTGAAATTTGCCGAAGCAATAGCAATCAAACGTTTAAAACCATATCTATGTATACAAAAAGAGACAATAGTAAATCTTTCTTTATCCTGGTAACAATGACCCCTCCCCATTTTAGTCATTTATTACTCTATTTATTTATTGTCATCACTCCAACTCTTTTAAATTACATTATATATAACTGACTGATTTCAATTCATATTTTGTTTATTAACATTAATCTATTTTCATGAGTTCCAATCACTGTTTCAATGTTCCGAAACTTTCCCTCTCAAACTCTATTTATTCGAGACAAAATTTTATGACCTCATTAATTCTAACGAAATCTTCGCTACATCATGATACATTTATTCATCTTTAATCGCCCTCTTATATATAACTATGTCAATATCTGTAATAATGTTGAATTTTAAATATTTTAGGTTGTAAGCAGCTGATGAAAACCTAACGAAACAAGATGAATTCATATGAATCTGCATCAATTTTTGTACTTGTTCTCTTTAAAATTAAAATATTCAAAAGAAACAGTAAAACATTCAATAGTTATACATTTAACTTTTAAAAAAACACACAACTAAAGCACATGCATTCATACAAACAAAATAATTGTTCAATTAAATTGATAAACATTCCTTTAATTACTTAATGAGTTAAGTAATTTTATTTATATTCTATTCATACAATATTATGTAATATATGAATGTTATTTCTTTTCTTTTTTGGTGTGTACTATCCGATGATCATGTATCATTTCTAATCACTATGATGTGAAAAATAAAAAAATAATTTTTAACGTAAAGATGAATTACGTTTTTAGAATGGAGTCAAACTATTTTATTTGATAATAAACAGTGCTAATGACAGTAATAATAATAATAATAATAGTAATAATAATAATAATGGTGGTGGTAGTGGTAACGAATATTATTAGTAGTAGTATTTTATATCTTACATTTAAAAGCGATTATTAGATTTACACTTTTGTTTGTTTCCCAAAATACAACATTATCTATTTATAGTTAATTGGTTACAATCAGTAGTATTTAAAAGTAACTTGGAATTCTAACAATTTGTAACAATTGATATTAGTATTTGTTTTTGAGGAATTTTTGTTTTTTCTTCTTCTTATCCTTGTTTCCTACCATAAATTCACTAAAAATGTTTGAAGTCATTCTTTTTTCGCAAGTTATTGTTTGTTTGTTTTTAGATAAAAGGACATTATGATAGATATTGTGTAACTATATGATACTTAAAGATGGTTATATTGATATTATTGATGATTTACACATTGTAACAGATCATCTTGTGTATGATCATTGATATTTTGTTCGATTTTTAACTGTAATATAATCAATAAAGTTTACATATCCATTTGTACTTACACATTGATTCATTTGTTATATGTAGTGTTAAAAAACTAGATATTGAATATGTCATAGGTATTTGGAGTTTGACAACGTTTTAACCAGTAACACTTTCTAATATGGATCGTACCCATCAAGTAAAATCAAAAGACAGAAGTAAGGAGGTTTGAGGATATATTTGATAGACTATCAATATATAGAGGATCGTCTGATCTATGCTGGCTAGCGATTGCAGGGGTTGTTGAGCACGGCGTTCCCACTCGTGATCTGGTGCGGATGCATAACCGAGAGCCTTCAGCTAATGTGGTCAGCATCCAATGTCGAAAACTTACAGAGCTATTTATTTTGGGAATTTATTTACCACTACAATATAAATAAATAGTATTTAACCGTTAATATACTAAACATAATAGTGTTTCATATAATTAGAGCCTACGTACTATATATCTGATTGCCCTCAAATGTCCTGGTACGGCTGAGAATGAAGAGAGAGAGCTCTCCCTCTAAAAATGCTCACACATGGCCACGTGCAAAAGACCACTGCCAGAGAAGTCCTACTCACTGCCCTCTAGCGGCATTACTGTTTTTTACGAAATTGAGAGGATGGAAAGCGAATGTCCAGTGTTTTGACCGAGTTAGTGGAAACGAAAAGTCCACCTAGGGGAGTTGGAAAACCCTGATTTTAAACCGATGTTGCACATGGGCTCCAGTATCCTGAAGAAACAAATGGCGTATGAACCAATGATTGGTCAGTGATTACCATGGGACTGCATTTCCTGACATTGATGCACTGCCTTGTGGATCAGGTTTTTAGGTCGAGGGCTCCGTGTGTGATCCCCTAAGAAACCACCTGTTTCGGTTTGAGTACCTGGGCAGTATCTCAGCCCTCACACAAATCGAATGATTTATGTAGCGCATATCTATTTGGTACCTCTTTGTACCAATGTTTATGTGTTTGAATAAAAAATAAAAACACAATTGATTAAGTTCTAACTATCTGATTGGAAATGTACACTTTACATTTTCGTCTAAACTATTGCCATTTATACTACGATTGTTACAGAAATATGAATTTATTTTTCTTTAGTTAAATGAATACAAATTAGTGACTGTGAAAATATCGTTCATGGATGATGATGAAACTAACATAATAGAATAGTCAGGTAACTTAAAAAAAGCAAAGATTAATTGCCAATATTCATTTCTTTTTGAAGGCTAAAAACTATTGACATTAATGGAATTACGTAAGAAGCTAAAAAGTTTTTTTTCATCAGTAATCGCTGATTAATTAATAAATACTAAATGGTAGGTAGTCAAAATAATAGAACTTCATCTCGTTAATTTTCAGCAACTTAACATGTTATTACATTTATTTATATGTTACTCATATTTAGCTTACAGTTGAATCCGATTAAATAAGCCACCAAAATATAGGTCTATAGGGCCCGTGAAATGTCACTGAGCCCTAGCCAAATCATCTGGCAGTTAGGTCACTGAATATCGAACAGTTTATCAATCTCCGTTTACGTCAAGGACAACTAACGCGCATCAATTAATTATATGCCGTGGACTGAACCATGCAGTGATGGTCACGCTTTTGTTTGTACCTACTTTAACTATTACATTTCTGTAATAACTTCCTTTATATTGTACGGTCTTCAAAGTATCCATAGTACCTTGATATACGACCAAGGTATAATCCACGTTGGGTGCTGACCTCAAAGTGTGACTTCGACGTTAGCTGTTGATCACACCATTCCCGTCTGACTCGGGTAGGCCTCTAATTATTCGACAGGGGGCGTCTACGTTGGTGATCTGCAGGTCTTTATAGATCATATTTAGATATGATTTATCATGATCTACTATAGCATACACCAGTAGTTGACGAATAAAGTTTTAGAATATACTTAACTGTTTTTTTATTTTTAAAAACCCATCTTTTATGCATGTTCATTGAAATACATAATAAAAAGAGATTTCAATGACTGAATGAAAACCAATTTGTGTACTTATACATGGTGGATTCACTAACCCAATCCTTTAACTCACTTGTAGAGGACAGAATACGAGTGGGGAACAATCGAACATATTAAACACAAAATTACAGGACCTGTTAATAAAATCTAACGATCATAAAGCAAATGCTTAATTTGCAAAATGTCCATCAATTGTCTCAAAATGACACAGACTTCATTGTTCCTGCATTTTCATACAAATTGCATTCTGTTTCCATTCTTTACTGTTCGATCCTCTTGTCTCTCTGCTGCCAGACCTTCTGTTTACGACTTACATCATATACTACTTATGTCAATATAAGTTGCACATACCACATTTTTATTTTAATTATCATATTTTAACTGCAAAACAAAAGAAGATACGTAATGTATAATAATTTATTTATCATAAATTTATTCATAACTATAGCGGTTTCATATTAAGTGGCCCTATATCTGACTCCAATCAGTCTGTATGAATGATTATTGTCAGAATATACATCCTGGTTGTCCTCGTATATGATTATTGACCTAACTCGTGTTAGTGAATAACGGAATTAAAATAAGCCAAGTACGATAAAGGATTTTGTACAATGATTGATCCAGCCAGACGATCGAAGGAATGAAGCGAAATGAAACAATCCACCGTGGAGAAGGCATGTGAGCCAACTCCCTTTAACTAAGCTTGACTCGATATTTGTCGTCAGCTAAAAATAAGCTACAGACATGTGATGAGTAGGATAAGATATACACACACATACGCTCATATAAGAACTTTCAGGATTGATAAGTAAATAATTAACAAGGTCAAAACGTGACTCAAGAAGTATCAATAAGCTGGTCTGTCCGAAAGCTAGAATATGCTATGTGGGCTTAACATAGTAACTGACAGTACAAGTAGATTTCAATTCAATGTGAGTACAAGTATTTTTATGAATGAACATTAGTTGAAAATCCATTGAAAGCTAGGATTTAGTGGGAAGTTATAGTTTTATCAACCGATGTTAGTCTAAGACCAGACCTAGTTTCAAATATTCATGTCTATCATCATCAAAGCTAAATTATAATAGCTGTTTAGATATACTCATATTTGAAAGTACACATTGTGATTATTCTCATTTTTGTTTTATCTACCATTAAATTTTCACATTTACACTACTTCATTTGTCCACTTATTAGAGTTCCCGTATTTGTAATTATATTCATCTTATAACTTTATTTTATTGCAAAACATCATACTCACATGACAAACTGTACTTTTTGTAGTGTACATTATTTTTTTCTTGGGCAAGAAAAATGCGTAGGTTATTCGAATAAGTAGTGAATTATGTGCTAAATACACATATCCTCTTGTTTATTTCTTTGTTAGTATATGTGATTGTGTGCCTGTGCGGAATATGTGTTTCTATACACAATCATTCTAGATTTTATGAAAAAAACCTCAAATTCGTGTGTTTATACGTCCATCCAATTTAAGTAAATAATTGTACGGCATCAGAATACCGGCCGGTTTCTGTCTATTATAAAGTGTTTTCTAACTATTTATTTGCCTTCCGAAAAAAAAATCGTACACTAAAGTTTACAGTCAATAAAACTAGTAAGGAGGACTACTTGTCATAAACAAAGATTAAAAATATATAGTTCATAGTAGCTATATTTGTAACTATGACATCTTTTATCAAATTATTAATTCTACAAACAATTCTATTAATTATTGTTTCTTGTCAAAATGGTCGTCAAATGTATCATGGTAATAATTATTTACGTTATCATGGGATAATTCAACCAACTCAACCAAGTCATGTACGTCGATGGATTGTTCTACTTGGACGTAAAGTAGTATTAAATTGTTCAGTGAATTTACCACCAGAGGTGAATCCAAGTCAAGTACAATATAGATGGGAACATCCTGAAGGTAATATATTAGGATACAGTAAACTGTATGTTATACCTAATGTAACGATGAATGATGCTGGTGTTTATACATGCCATAGTTCAGCTTATGTTGGATTTGGTGGTGAACAATGGGTTGATCAACATCGTCTTTATTTGGAAGTTCGTAAGTTTCTTGTTTTTTATTACTTTGATTAAAACATAATGAAACACTTAAATAATAATGATGATGATAAATAAATAATTTTAAATCACGACTTTAGCCAATATAACTAGTTGCCAGTCAAAATATATTAGTTATAATGCATTGGTTCTTTTATCAACTATTTTACTGATTAGTTCAAATGTATTTTTTCCATCCAATTAATAAGATATAAGGTAATTACATAGCATAATTAACTTCTTCAACCTTATCAATAAGACATATTCTACTTCAATAGTAAATGGTATATATTTATCAATAGATTGAGGATAATGTCAAATGAATAAAGTTATCAAAACCATGATCTTAATTAAACAAAATGAGAAGACAAAGTGAATTCGGAAATTGTGATGTATTTACACTGTACATTTCGAACAATCTTGTCATAGATGTACATGTTCAAGTATTAACTCTGTTTTCTCATTGTAATAACAAACATTTTTTAAAAAAAAGGGATTATTCTAAAAAAAATCATGGTTATTGTATTTAGTAGTACTTGTATTCGTTATTGGTAGTGTTCACAATTGATCCAATGTAGATAATATATGTATCATTACGTAAACATAATGCGATGAATGCTAGTTAAAGAGAAAATAATATAATTATAAGAAACAATGTAATACTAAAGTCAATTATGAATGCCTTAAATTGATTTACTTCTTTAGTTAAAACAAACAAACAAAATTCTATTTTCATATCTAACAATAGATATCCATATTAATAATAAGAATCAATTAAAGAAACTAACAAATGACTGATATTCAATTTGACTATATACAAAAAAGAGTATCAAGGAGTATCAGGAGTCCCGCAATAGGACGAAACAGCCATCCAGTGCTTCCAGGTTTTCCATGGTGGTCTAGCTTTAACTGACTCATGATCGTAATCATTAAAATTATTTTCCTCAAAAAAATAAATACATGTAATCATTCATAAATAATGAAAAAGAAAATCGATAATATCAATGTACAAAAAGGCAATACGTTTAATAAATGAGTAAGATTGTAGTGAGATCATTTATTTGGTTTTTGGTGTACCATATAGAATCGGAATATTAAAAATAAATTCTGTATAATCAATAGTGATTTACAACACAAATGTAGTTATCATATATATATATATATATATATATATATATATATATATATATCAGGCAAAGGGGGACACCAATTCACCGAACTAAGCGTTTTCAATGATAGGTCACTTAACCTAGAGTGTCATGAAAGAGAATTTACTCCTAGAATTAGTTTATATTTTAAAGGTTCTTTTTTTCTTTCATATATCTCTATTTTAAATATCTTTATCATGTCATATTACATTCTTTGTTACTAGTGTATTTCAATTTAATACCCAATTTGTTTCCTTTTTTTTGTATTTTTAATAAAATTGAAAAATGTCCATCAGTTAATTGATCTATTGATTTAATTAGTTTCCTTTTTTTGTAGTGCCATATTATTTTTCTTTTTGTAAAGTTTTTTTTTGGAAAAACATCGATCACTTTATTGTATTCCATTTGCATAAGAATTTATTGTAAAGATAATGTAGTCCAGTTGTTTAGTGTTGTTGTTGTTATTGTTGTTGTTTCTAGGATTCCATGTTAGGGCTTGCCTCATGATGCAGTTTGATGAATTGCGTAATGTATGTCCTTCCGATTTCCATAATCTTTTACTAATTTTCTCTTCGAATGGAAGCTGGTTTATTTTCTCCCAAAGTAGACTGTTACTGATGATATCCGGCCAATGGATTTTGATAATCTTGCGTAGACAACTATTTATAAATACTTTTATCTTCATTGGTAATGGCTGTAGTAGTTCTCCACATTTCAGCTCCGTACAGTAGAAGTTTCCCGACGTTCGCAATAAACTTTCTAACTTTGATATTGGTTGACAGTTGTTTTGAGTGCCATATATTCTTCAATTGTATGCTGCTATAACTAAGAAATTATGTTGAAATGGTTTATGATAAGAAAGTTAAAGAATAAGAAAGATGGTTCTCTCGTTATAATCATTTGTCTTTATTGTTAAGAACTAAAACAGGTCATTCTCATTTATGGTATATTCATCCAGTATAGAATGCTTCAATATTTCTTTGAAGTCACAATCATAGATAGTGGCTAGCAGTGGATTTCAAAATGTAATTTAAGCATTTTATGGATTCTATCACAGTTTCACAACTAAACATTATCTAGAAAGAAAGACGATTGTTTTTATAGATTTGTTTAGCTTAAAAAAAGTATCTTTCATTCTAGACAAATAATAATGTATAGCTGTAAGCTAAAATTGGTGAAGAGTATTACAATTTCTAAAGAAATAACTCATTTACTGTTTATTGTTTTTTGAAGGTTTTGAAGATGATTTTGTTGTATGATGAAAGCTAGTCTTAAAGTGATCTAATCTCCAATTTTCTAACACAAATCATCTAGATTTTTTATGGTTTTTTTATTATTATCAGAATGGGTTTTGTGGAGATTTTAGAAATTTCACTAGTTGAAATCATGTGTCAATTGAAGCTAGACCACCATGGAAAACCTGGAAGCACTGGACGGCCATTTCTTCCTAGTATCAGACTCCTCAGCAGTGCGCATCCATGATCACGCACCTTGCGAGATTCGAACCCAGGACCTATCAGTCTCACGCCAGGTGCTTAACCAACTAGACCACTGAGCCGGTATCCAACGGTGTTCATGTCTAACTTCAACCAATCCACGAAGTTGAGCCACCATTGTCTTCAGTGAGTTACTACCTCACAACAGACCTGGTTGAACTCCACTGGTAACGACTTCTCACTAGATCGTGGATACGTACTACTGAGGAGTCCCACAATAGAACGAAACGGCCGTCCAGTGCTTCCAGGTTTTCCATGATGGTCTAGCTTCAATTGACTCATGATTTCAACTAGCAAGGATTTTTTTCTTAAACAAAAAAATTAGTGATAATAATCATTAACAATTTACTGAAGATTACTGTTTATTTATCACGGGAATTCAAAATGTTTGAGAATCACGCATATTCACTTCATAAAGAAAAAAGAACGAAAAAACAACAAAAGATGAAAGTATTTTTGTTGTCAGCTGGTATAAATTTCTCAGAACATAATTACTATAATTATAGAAATTACATTGGCACGTGTTTCAGTGATCACAAATGTAATACTGTTAAAATCTATTTATAATTTTTAATGTTCTGTTTATTACAGGCTAATAAATAATTTACACAAATACAATGATTATTTGTATATTCGTTAACAAAACTACATGTATCTATATACATACAAATGCAAAAGTATAACTTACGTAAAAACAAAGACGTTACACCATAAAAAAGGTAATGGGAATAGAATATATGTAAATCTATTCTATGTTAATTGTATATTGTTAATAAAACAAATGAGTAAAATGTATACATCAATATATCAGAAGGGGGTTTGTGGAGATTGTAGTAATTTCACTAGTTGAAATCATGAGTCAATTGAAGCGAGACCATCATGGAAAACCTGAAATCACTGGATGACCGTTTCGTTCTATTGTGGGACTCCTCAGTAGGGCTTATCCATGACCGCACCTCACGGGATTTGGACCCTAGACTTATCAATATTTTGTAGGTTACAGTCTGAGTTCCTTAAAAAATGACATTTAATATGTATATATATATATATATATATATATATATATATATATATATATATATATATATATATATATATATATATATATATATATATATATATAGATGACGTAATAGAAAGATTATCATACTAAATTACGTAATACAAATAATAACATTAGATTTAGTGAATTCTTCTTATATATATATCTCTTTACGCCAGTTATTAGTGAGCATATGATAATAATAAGAAAGGGATCGTTGACGCGCATTACTGATGAGTCTCATGATGGGACGGAAAGGCATTCCATTGCTTCCACGGGTTTTTCATGGTGATCTTCAACTAACTGATGATCTCAACTATTAAAATTACTATAATATCCACAAAAACCCCATTTGATATCATAAGAGTTTAATGAATAAACTTTATCCTTATTCACTGTATTGATTTTGTTTTTAATTTCTAGAGTGATGTGTACAAGGATTAATCTATGCTCATTTTAATGATGTTCATATTTACTAAGTTTAACATTTTCTTCATTTCTCATCCAGTCATCATAATGTTCGACCAAAGTTTTATCTGACATATTGAATGTTTCCGGGAAGATTCTTTTTTATATGTTATATCAATTAATTTATCCTATTAGTTAAGAGGAAACTCATTTTAATGCAATTCCCCTGACAAGCCAGAATACTTTATTGAAGTGTTGTATTTTTAACCAGATACTTGGATTTAGTTGATATGCAATCTTGACAAAACTTGTATTACCGTAAATTTGAATTCAAAATTATTTGTTAAGTATTTTTTGTATTCTGTTAAGTTGCAAATATCAGTAATTCTAATCTATATCAAATAAATAACACATTACAAATTCAGTAAACCAAAGTATTGAATAATTTTTTGGTTAGTGTTTTTTAGCGAGTTAGTTTTCTACGGGATGGGGTCGCTAACCCCATGACCAGCCCTCCTCCTTTATCCGTGCTTGGGATCGGCAGTAGCCGTAGAGGGGCTCCAGGTGGAGTTTTGAGACCAATAGACTGGATCGATCGTATACAGACCAGATCGAAACACTACGGATCATTGTGGAACAATCAATTGAATGGAATTCATCACTCTATATCAACTTCATTGACTACGAGAAAGCAGTTGATAGCGTGAGCAGAACAACACTATGGAAGCATCTTCGACACTAAGGCGTGCATCAGAAGATAGTCAATATCATACGGAATTCCTATGATGGATTGAACTGCAAAATCGTACATGCAGGACAGTTGAAAAACTCGTTCGAATAAGAACCGGTGTTAGACAATGTTGCTTACTCTCACCTTTACTTCTTCTACTGGTGATCGACTGGATCATGAAGACGTCAACACATGAGCGGAAGAATAGGATACAGTGGACAGCTAGGACGCAGCTGGACGATCTAAACTTCGCAGATGATCTGGCTCTTTTATCACACACGCAACAACAAATGCAGGAGAAGACGACCAGTGTAGCAGCATCCTCAACACCAGTAGGTCTCAGCATACACAAAGGGAAAAATAAAATTCTCCGATACAACA